AGTATGTAAAATAATCATGAAAAAAATCTCATAACGTTCTATTAAATAGTAATTAATCTTACATAATCTTACATAGGTTTACTTTATACAGTGAATGTAAGGATTTAGCTCATATTAATTAGGCTCAAGTTATTGTGCACGAATTCATGAAAATTTATCACAAATTATTTTGATGACATCTTTTTGGGCATTTATCAAAATTATATTCGTATGTGTATAAACTTGCAATGACTAAGGCACCTACATTGTGCACGAAAATATGTGAATTAATTATTTTAATGTAAATTTTTATCAATTCGTGCATGATATTTTGTGTACAATAATTTGTGCACATTGAATATATATCACAATCCTTACGTCTACGGTGTAAAGTATTCCCTCACAAATAATTACGCAACATGAGTAATCCTCTTGTTGCAGTTTACTCCCGTACTTTAGATGCTTTTGATTCTAAGTTCAATAAACCGCCACCAAAAAGAGGTAAAATTCTTTAAAACTCTGACTTAATACAGGAAAAATTAAATTCTTACGAAGAAAAATTCTTAATAAGCTAAAGATCACTGAATTCAGTGTTTTAATCAAAATATTAGTTAAATTTTTTATCGGCACCTATGTCAAAAGCGATGTTTCTAAAATCAATAATTGTAAAATAAAAAGTGTGCTGCTTAATACTTTAAGTGTAATAAAAATAACGTTCCAATTTAGATGTGAAACACAGAATTTAAAATCTAGTTGCATAAAAAAAACTTCTAATTTTAACAACTGTTATAGTGATAAAAGTAATAAGAATAGTTCTCATAATAAGTGGATTTTATACAAGTTTTATTAGTTCAATTAAATAAGTGCAAAAATAATTTAAGTTGAAACTTTTTAAGTCCTTCTTCAGAACTGTAAAAGTTTTTTGAACAATCAATGGGAGCTGCATAACCATTTTAGAAAGCTTGACGTCAGAATCTGTGTTTAATTCTGGCGGAAAACGGAAGGTGATCATGAATTTTGAAAATTTAAATGTTTTAGAAAGACATACCAGAAAGAAGAAGCGAGCATTGTATTTTGTATTTAAAAGTATACATCGTTTAAAAAACTAATCCACTCATTTTCTCCTGATCCTATGATCGAAAAACGTGTTGCAGTAATCTCATGATATTATCTTGAGTTACAGAGCCCCAGACGGTAATCTCATGCACGTGCTGACGATAGATTAGCAGATAGCATAAGTAACCCCAGCAAATTTATTGGCTGGTGATTATAATATTCAGAACACTTACTAGAATTGTCCTGAGACTGATATGAAAATGGTGAGACTGGAAAAGTTTATTGGAAAATGTAATTTATTTTGACTTGATTCTAATTCCTTTACGTATATAAATACAAGCAAGAACTATTAATCCAATCTTAACTTATTAACTTGATCGTGTCTCCAACCACTCTGTCAGACTTTGTCTCTTTCAAGATTTTGGGTTCTACCTGGAGATTTGATCACTTACCTATATTTGTCAATGTTAGCACTAAGCAACTAAGGTTAGAAAATCATACTTGTAATTCTTTACCCCTCACACTGTTTGCGAAGTATTTCAATAATCATAATAAACTCAAATAGTTCATTTTTTAGCTTAAAATTCGATGAACTAACAGTTTAATAATAAAAATATAGAAGCAGTTGATACTAGCATTATCGTTAATAGTTGTTCGAAATGGAACTCAGTAAGATAGTGGACTGTATAATTTTATATCGCACGCCGGATTCGGGGGAGCGTGAAAAACAATGTAAATAAAAGGACACAATAAGAAATGCACAACACGCTTTTAAACACTTTAGCCGTTTATTATAAAAAAAACAATCTCTCTATTTAATTTTACTTTAACAAGTCATAATACTTGCTTACATGCAAGATAAAAAAAGGAAGAACTAATTTTTGAGTCAGACGGAGAAATTACGTGTCAATCGAAAATATGAATCGTTTTCATTACAGAAATCTTACATAAAAACGATACACGTGAAAATTATAAACACGAGCGCAAAGTGACTTACCGAAAAGGGCGTTTGAGGCTGACTAACGATAACCGCAGCAGCAGCAAGCTGCTAGACAAAGGTAAATATAAACAGAGTCTATTGGTGTATTAATAGACGCGCGCACGCTTATGATTGGCCCTTATAGGTAAGAGAATATCCTAAAGTGCGAGATTTCAAATCTCATAAACTAAATTTTCTATTTACATCAGTACAATGTTACTGATGTTGCACATGATAGTGCTTAAATCTTTTTAAAGGAGACAACAAAATGTGTAGTTTTCCACTTCGATTATAAATTAATATTTGTTTCTCACACTTCGTATATCGTAGCTAGATGCACTAAAGCCCTGTACATGCGGCCAAGTTCTTGCGTGATACTTGAAGGGGTTTTCATTTTTTATTGGTCACAATGCTATGCTAGTGTTTTGTGCGTTATATACTAAGTTTCTGTTGTTGTATATATTATCCTTAGAATCAAAGCTTCAAAAATCTTACACATGGGTTTCAGGCTTGCATGACGTTACAAAATTATCCAACCACTTAATATTTTTCGTGCAAAAGCCAAAGTTCCTTCAACAGAATTTTACAATCATTTTTTTTGTTAGTGTTACTTAACAAAATATTTTTAAACATTACCGCGATGACTTATAAATTTACTGACGATTGTTTTAAGATTGTGAAAAAGTATTTTCTTAATAAATTAAGACTCTTTAAAGAACGTTCAATTGAAGGAGAAAAATGTTAGAATAAAATTACGCGTAGTTCAAAATATAACCCATACATGTTTGGTAATAATACTATCACCTCAACTATCCCGACTAAGTGTAAGCTAGGGAATAATTTAAATAAATCGGAAAATTCCAGTTATATTTTTAAGATTAGTTAATAAACGTTCCATTAAAAAATTATTGATGGTAGCAAAGTATAAAAAATAATTTTTCCGCCCTTGGGTGGTTTTGGGAGGCTGGTACTTCCTCGGGCGAAAAAGCAGTTTTCCGGAACTCGTTCGAAAAGTCTCCTTTACAAACCTCGTTACGTCCCTCGCCTTCGGCTCGGGCCGCAAACCTTTCGGTTCGCAAACAGAGACTTTTCAAACTCGTAGGAAAACTACTATTAGTGGTCTCTTCATTTACTGTAAAGAGCTTTGTATGAAAAAAAAGAACAGTAAGTTGTAACAAGAATGTATCAATTTTGTTCACTGAATATACGGCTCTTGTTGAAGCTTTAAAGCTAATTATAATCCATAGTTCAACACGTTGCATAGTGAATACGTAAAAAGATTGTGCAATTAGAGTGTGAATAATTGTATTCTATAATATAGTAGAATTTTCTTCGTTCGCTTTTTCAATTATAATTTTTATCATTATTAAAGTAGGCCAATATGGATCTTGATATTCAGAAATAGCTTAAACAAAAAATCTATACTTATTATAATCAAGAGATACTTATGAAAGCACGATGTAAAATGTTGAATTTTGCAGACTTTAGCCCGATGTTTGTTTAACAAGAGAATTTATAAAGCGATTCAGACCTTGTATGTGGTGGCACCTTCATTATACAGGTCCAAAGCTTGCAAATTCTGAAGCTATCTGGGTGAAAATGGCCTTAATAAGTTATTTTTTTCACTATATTCATTTTCTTTATTTATAATCAACGTATAATGGGGATTTACGTACTAATCAAACTGAAGCAGGTATAATTCTGAATACACTACTACTTTAAAGCCTTAAGGTAGCCGTGGACATTTTAATGTTGTAAGCAACTGAGTAAAAAAAGTAAACATTCTATAAGATGTACTGCAGCTCAGTATCATGAATAGTCTTGACCAAGATAAATACTATTTCACTAAAATTGCTTCTTAAATTTTTTTCTTTGTAAATTGTAATTAAAAATTTTGTAGACACATTTTTAAAAATTTAATGCATAATGTAGTATTAAAAATGTTGCGATTTCCGAAAATTTATAACATATTTCTGCCAATTAAGGTTCTAATTTTTAGGTTAAAACTTTTTCGGAGAAACCGCATGATACAAAAACTTATCACAAAAACTGTAATAAACGAGATAGTCTAAGGAGTTTCTGAACTCTTCGAGTCTGATTGATTAAGTATTCTTTGAGTATTAACATGCTGAACGTTACTTGGCGATAAATACCCCAAGATTGATGTAACAGATACGATATTGAGCTGAAGTCCCCTGTATCATTAAACGAATATTAGTATATAATTTTAAAATTTACGAAAGTAATTGTGATTTTTTGATACTTCCTATTATTGTCGTATTTTTTATAATATTTTTAATACAAAAAGTTTTTAACGTATATCATCCCTAAAACAGTTACTTCATTCTTAAAATCGACGTCAGCATTACATGTGTGACATAAAGTTCCATGAAAAATTTTTAAAGTTTTTTTTTAAATTGTTGAAACTTTACCCTAGAAGTTAAATCTGCTATAAGCAAATTAGTGCTTTGATGTTTTTTTAGACAATTAGCTTCAAATGTGGTGTAAATCTAAAGATGAAGAATTCTATGACTGGTTATTTCCTCTGAAAGTAACATTGGTGCAATACATGTTCAAGTCATTGACAAAATTGCCTTAAGAAATATAGTGATAAATTATTTTTTTGTATAAAAAGGTTTTTTTCTATACCTACTGAACCCTCAATAAGAAAAATTGTATTCTTTTGTTCAAAAAGTGACATATAAGCACTTGCTTTTTTCACATAGTATCAGTTTATGAATCATGTTGAATGTAACCAAAAACTACTGCTGTGTATTTTAGGTTGTGTTATGTAGACTCATGAGTATTAATTTATTTATTTTTTTGCGACTTCGTTCCTTCCACAAATCAAAAAAACTTACTTTAACCAACAACCTTGTTATTATAATATTTAGTCACTTACTGGACACTGAATGAAATATTTCGTAGTTGGTAATTTATACATAATTAAAATGTATGTTAAATTAAAAATATTTCGTTATTACAGGTAAAACGTGTAATGCCAAGCTTTTCAATTCAACATTATCGGTTAGATATGACGCATATACAGCTGATATGACGTGGATATGTGTTCTCTGTAAAAAAGGTCCACATTATATAGTACCTGGAAACTCTTCCGATTTTTTCCATAATTCATCTTATTCTGGGACATATACGGTAATTCTAAGAAATAATTATAGAAGTAGCTGTAATAAATATAAATAAACAATAAACTGAAGTAGAGTATATGACATTAAATTTGTTCTAATATTGGCCTTGAGCACAATTCCGAAATTGCGCCCCCACTGAGAACTTAGAGATAGATTGGCCGTGATTATAAAAAAAAACAGTTTTATAAATTGATTTCCATGTACTTACAGAAAACCGACGTTTGAGAGTTCACCACCTGGTGAATTGAGCTGGAAGCTTTATTATATAATATCCTTTTCAACCATGGTTAATCGTTCTCAAAGTTCCCAGTAGGGGAGCGATTTTGGAATTGTCCTCAGAGCCAATATGTAAAAACTTAGAAAAACTCCATTTTTGGTTCTAGAAAAATGTAGAAGTATCTTTTTTGACATGCATCTTCAAGAACACCTTTTTATTATTTCAAAGAATTTACAGAACAATCATTCAATTTAAAATGAGCAACATAAATCACAACTACACTTTTTTTCGGTTTTTAAACATTAAATTTTTAAATAATTTCTGCGACTCTTGACTGTCTAATGCTACAACATTGCTTTTAAAAGTTGTTTGAGTTGTTGAAACAAAGAAAATTAAGTAGCACTGGACCTTTTATTTCTTTTTTAAAATGCCTAAAAAAAGTCTATCATCAACAGTTATGGGTGCTTAAACCTTAGAAATAAAGTAAAACTTTCATTAATTTCAGAAAATTTTTCTAGTTTTTAAGCTTTTTTAAGCTAAAATATTAAATGCTAACCGACCATTTGAATCGTCTCAAACACATATGAAAGTTAACTTTACAAACTTTATACACCTATTTTTAAATGACCCTGTCTTTGTGAAAGAGAGTCTGCTTTCGTTTAGAAAACTTGGTCTTTTCTAAAAGACCTGCTGTGGTATAGTTATGACCTAAAGATTAAAACTTTTTAACGCACGTTTTTCAGTTTTCGTCACCACTTCTTTCTTTATTCATGTCTACAAAGTTATGAAAGTTAATTGAGAAAGGTAAATAAGTTGTACGTTGCAGCATAGCTGTTTTTCAATAGCACATGATGCTACGAAGGGTAGAAGTACGGCATTGTCTGTTGGGTGTGAGTTGACACCTAAGTCCGAAGGCCGAGAATTAATGCTGTACTTTATTCTCAAGTCACGTATACTTTGTTTTTTACTTTATTTCAGAGTTGAGAGTGTAAAATAACCTCCTAGGTAAAAATAGGACTCACTGATGTCTATCGGAAAGTATTTTAGCGTTCTCTGTACAGACATCACGTTCAGAGCCAAAGAGAAAAATAGCAGACATGCAGAGGATAACAAAAAATTTATCTACAGTCGTGCGTGAGATTCTTTACAAAAAAAAAAAAAAAAAAAAAAAATACATAACAAACATTATATTTATACAAATTTTTAGAAAATTTAGTTATAAAATATTCATTAAAGGTGCAAAAACATACGTCACAACAGACAGTCAGATACTCCGTGTATTGACATAATTTTGATGTACGTGTATATTCTTCAGTTATTTTTATGGGAACCAATACTAAAATTAAAACACTGTATGAAGTACATGACGATGTATACATACACACGTACATGAACTTTTCTTTAACCCTAATTACCTAGTGTACTATCGGAAAGCTAGAAGACATTCGTAGTATATTGAAGATTGACAAACGTGATTACTTATGTTGATAGTTTTTCATTAATTTTATAACTTATTTTTACAGACGTACTTTCGTTTTATGTATTCCACGTAACAGTACTTATCCATGTAATCATACTTTGGTTTATTTTGTTTCGAACGATTTTTTTGGGTTTCTTATCCTTGTGTTCCTAATTTTTTTTTTTATTCAAAGTATGTTTTTTATAAAAATTATAAGTTCCATTTTCTCATAAATCAGAGTGATGTTAATACATATAGCATGAAGATTCCTATACGTATTTTGTTGTAGAGTCGGTATTCGCATATATCTGTTATATTATTAAATTTTTATCATAAGTTAAAGTAGGCCGTACTGAAACAAATTTTGAAACAAAAGTTGTAGATCATGTATTTTTTAAATAAAATCATTACTTTTTTAGACGTATTAAAATTTTATTAGCAAACTTTATATTTTTGCTAAATTAATTACAAAAAAAAATTTATGTAAACCTTAAAATTACAAAAAACTTAATTTAATGAAACCAGTGTTTTACTGCAGTACTAAAGCTAATATTTTCGTGTAGCATGTATACTGGAACAGTATCAAAAGTAGTATTGGAACGGTTGATAGAGTTTAGTGGTATTACAATTAGATTTTTTAAATAAGATAGATTTTTAATGTTGATTCAGATATAACTAATGAAATAGTGATTATATGCATGAGTGCAAAAAAAATAAAATTAAAAATTGTGAAAATCTCGTTGATAGTTTTTCTAGCTTAATCTGCATTTTAAGTTGTAAGACTTGTACCTTCTCAGACAGAAACTTTTTGTAAATCTCGTCCAATTTTGCCTCAAGATTTTTTTCTATTTTTATGCATACTATCCTTATTTTTTTTTGTAGGCTTATTTTTACTAACATTTTGAATTTCTTTATTGATGTATTACAACTTTTTTTTTAATCTTTTTTTTGCTAAACAAGTGCAAGTAAGTCATACTGCTACTTGTGGAAGTCCATCTTATAAAGTTTTTTTTTCGCGATTGTAATACAGGATACGTCAACACTTTTTTTTTAAAGGAGATTCGGTGAGTTCCTTTTTTTTGACACTTTGAATAGAACATATTTTTTGATAATATTAAAAAATTAGTTTCTAAAAAATTATACCATTATTCATGGTAACAAATAAAAAATTAAAAAAGTACTTAATTACAAACTTTATAAAGTAAGTAATAAATACCTAACCAAATTACCGATAATACAAGTGAGAGGCAAAGTTAGGGTTAGACTCCTTTGTTGATCAAGAAGTATCAGTTTACCATTTCATATCGACTTAGTTATACTTGCTTGTTATTTAAACAATGTACAAAATCACTGATATATTCTAAAACTGACGAACTTCCTCTATGATCATAAATTTATTATTTAAGTACGAACTTATTTGTCAATCTGTTAAATTCACGCTTGTTGAACGCTTCTGCTCCTCACCGCAAAATTATGCAGCAGTACTGGAACAAGATGTTCCATCTTGTTTCAGTATTGCATACTCATTTTAAAATGAAGATGTGTACTGGAACGCCTGATTATTAATTAAAAAACAGTCTTCGTTGATAGTTCAATGCGTAATTTTAATTATTTATGCAATATTGATGGCTGTAATCAATTTTTATTCGACTAGTTAACATTTTTTCGTTTTTTCATCGCTGAAAGCAAAGTTTCAGTTTCGTTTTAAAATGAGAAAAATAAACGAATTTGACTGTGTTTTCGAGGGGATGTTGTAATACCTTTTTTTCTTTATTCTCGTTTTGTAGTAAGTGTGTTTTTGATTATATTTTACATGTATTGCCAGTAGGAATCTTGATAAATTGTTTTATTACAATTGATAGTAATTGACCGCCTGTTATGGGAATGAATAAACGTTGTTCAAGTACTCATGCCACTTATCCCGTTATTCCAGTACTACCTCCTTTACTTAATATCGTACGAAATTATGTAATAATATTCATGGTTGTATTAAAATGTTTTTGTTTCTGCTAGATAAGAAGACTGTATCATATGTAGAGTCGGTGCCGTGGCAAAAAAAAAACACGGTGTTTAGTTCGTCAGAATGAAGAAAAATTTCTCAAAATTTTTTCTTTCTTCAGATTTTTATCTAGTAAAATCGGTTTTGGGTTGATTTTGTTCGATATCGAATACTCTACGAATATCTGTTTTCTTTAGATACGTAACGACTTTTTATGTACGAATAATTTTGGTATCCAAACGGGTACAACTAATTATGGTAATACATTATGTACACATCCATTAATAATGGGCTACCTCGTGCATGCAGTGCTTTACAAACCTTTTTCTGAGTAACTGCTTTTCTATGTATAATAAAATGTTTATTTAAATTTTTTTTTTATTCAGCACTTTGTGAAAAAAAAATTTTTATTTCAGTTTTTTAAAACTGATTCAAAGTTTTTATTTTCTTTTATGGTTTATTTATACAAGATTATAAAAATAAATTATTACATTTTCCCACTGGCATGTAATAATAATATTCTATTACCGACAACTTAGTATCACAGGATATTAATTTCTGTATATGAGAGTCATGATTTTATGATTCTTACTTTAGAAATACCAAGCCAATCGTGTCATTGTTAGAATATAATCTAAATGAATGTAATGACGAGGTTCAAAGCTGTGCAGAGTTAACGTCAACCATTTTCATGTATCTTTATTTTAATTTACAACCATAGAATATGTGTAATTATTATATTTGCATTATGTTTTATTTAGAAAATGGTAACCACCCGTTTTATACAATTTATAATTGACTAAACGTTTAATAATAACACAATTTTTTAAAAACTTATTAGGCCTTCTTTTAGATAACTATTGTGGGTGTCGTGTACGAGACTATTTGTAAGAATGAATGTGTTAGCGTATGTAACAAATGCAAGAGTAACATTAGAGATGCTATCAGAGTAGGTAGTTGTTGTGAAATTATCAGAAGATTCAATAAAAGTAGGTACCCTTACACTGGCTAGCCTAGCAGCACGTCATGCCATGACTATAGTCTACTTTTAATTCATTAAATATGTTAATATTTATTGAGTAGTAGAATGCAGCGAGCTTAATCACGTCATGAAAAATTTCAAAATGACCAAAATTAAGTGCTGGACCATTCTCTACCCTACAATTTATTCAAAATAAATTTTGATCGAACTAAAACTAAATTTCTATATATTGTGAGTTTCTTGAAAAACATTATTCAATTTATTTATTTTTTAATTTATTTATGCAATATCTCACATAAATTTAATTTCCTTAAGGTCCATACAAAGTTCTTAATTATATGTGTAAGCTACGTATAGAAATATTTATTTTTATCACATGGACAATTAACCACACTCAAAAATAGTCCAAGCAACAAATCAATATTTTTGCTTACTTTTTTTACAAAAAGCACTGGTTAAAAGGGTTTTAGTAGGTACTTTTTTGTGGTTAAGCATATTGGTACATGCAAATAAACATTTCAAGGCATATACGTTTCTGCGTATGTATTAATTTGGCGTTTACTAGCTA